ACAAGGGAATATGGATATACATATTTGCCCCAACTCTTGGGGCTGTAGCAGGTGCTTGGGTCTACAATATCATCAGGTTCACAAACAAGCCTTTAAGAGAAATCACCAAGAGTGCTTCTTTCCTCAAGAGCTCGGCTCGGAATGGGCCCAACTGATAATTAAGCCCATCTGGTTTTAGCTTGCTGTGAAATGTTTGAGAATTTTGCTCTTATTTTATACATTATGTAAAAGAAACTTTAAAAAATAAATAAATGCTAAAATAATATTATCCAACTCGATCCCCCGTCAGCAATATTGACCGAGTCGAGTTGAATGTAGCCCAGAGTAATTATGACTTGATCAAGTTGGTTTTAATTTTGATTTTCTTGTAGCATGGATTTGAATAATTAGTAGTAATCGGAAAAAAATAGGTAACTACAAATATTTAAAATACACTTTCAAAAATTAAAAAAAATTGTCAAATTTTTGAAAAATTAGGTGGTCACCTTATAAAATTTTATGACTTATTAATTAATTAAATATGTTAAGGTGATAATAACACACATTTTATAATTACGATCGCATACCAATCACAAATCACACAAAACCACATTCACATATAAAAAAATTGTGGATCAAGGTTATAAATTTAATCGCACACATTTTTATAAGCTACAAATTATTTATCGATCACAAATTTCCCACATAAGCTTTCCTATGTTGTCTTCTTCCACAGGAATACTATTTTCCATGGATGTACAATATACCTGATTTTTTGAATTGTTCGGACTCCATCAACCCGAAAACAAACCAAATAGAAAATATGGGGAAGTGAAATCTTAGAAATTGAAACCTAGATTTTGAGGGAGAAAATCAGCGATAATGACAGGAAAAGTTTTTTTTTCTCAATCATTATATATGTACATTATCTTTGATATCAAATTTGACATCCAATGAAGTAACAACGATCATAACGTTTAATTTTAAACACACTTCATCAACTCACTGATCAAATTTTATCCACATAAGAGGGCATCATCCTCAATGTTTACAAGCAATTTACATCTAGCGTTATTCTTTTTTTCCTTCATATGCGTTTTGTAAGGGATAAGGGAAAGGTGGGGTAGGGTAGGGTAGGGTGGGGTGGGACATACAGGGGCGAACCCAAATTATGGTTAAGAGGGGGCGAGATATAATGGAAGCTGACTTCAAAGAATGGAAGCTGGTAATTCAGGAAATAGAAAAATTTCTAAAAGCTGACCCAGCTTTTATGAACATCAGGACTTTGAGATATAGCATTGTATTGGACCTTCAACCAAATAGTCTCCCACATGTGGATGGGCAAAGAAAGCTTAAACTAAGATATGCATTGTTATGCAGCTATCATCCTCATGAGGTTTGTATTCTTTGTTGCTTATTATTATTAAAACTGAAAGCAATAATAAAGATATGAGTATTTAATTTATGCTTCAATGGTCTAGGCTAGCTCTTTTATATAGAGGAACCAATTCACAAAAAGAGGACTTGTTTTAGTATTCTTTGAGTTTTTATGATTTCTTAAAATCAAATAGAAAGAAACAGAGGCTAAACAAAAGCAGAGGCCAATAAAAATTTTGATCTGATCATCTCACTCTCCAATCCTACAAGAAATGGAAAAACTTGCCAAAGTTGCAACTGATAATGAAGATTATTCACACAATCATGAATGCAGCACTAAACTATTGAAAAACAAATAAATTGAAGCAAGTTGGACTCTCGTCATAAAAAGGAGAAGTTTTCAAAATCAAGTATGGGAAAATCAAATTCAACCATCATCTCCTCAATAATGCAATAGACAAAATTTCAATCCTATCAAACATTAAACTATAAAATGAATTCTTGAAGTCTACAAACTACAAATTCAATCTTGAAGTAGAAATTAGAACCATTATCAACACAAAAAGAAAAAATAATTATATACTAAATGAATAAACAATGAATATAATTTGGAATCCAAAATTTCATTATTGAACAAAATATTCAAATGTTGGAAGAAGAAATTGGCAAAAAAATTCGTGTATAATATACAAATCCACTTGACAGAAAGAAAAAGAAAGCAAACCCAGTTGCTGAGACGTGAGAGGGCGCATCTTCAAGAACGATGCGGTGCCGATTTTGAGTTTGCACTTCATAGGGTTTGAGAATCGCTTCGCAGGGCTTGAGAAGGGGTGAACTGGGAGCTTGGGAAGGGAAGTACGATGTTAAAAGATTTTGTTGGGCTTGGGTTGGACTACT